GAATTCCTTTTTCAAAAAACAATTAGTTAATCACAGTTTTATCATTCTGATGATGCCTGAGATAAATCTAAAACACCCTAATTCTGTAGCCAGAAAAAATAACATTTTGATTGCCATTGTACTTTGAGGCAGAAGGCAGAGTATAATATTGTATCTTAGGTCTGGGACAGACATTGCATAAACTGGTTTGAGCCAAATCAGTGAAGTCTGATACTACAGTCAACCAGGTTTATCTCAAACCAGTTTCAGCCATTTTCAAACTGATTTATGTGCACTGAACTTCTGTTCTGTTACAGGTTTGAACCAGTTTCTGATCACTTAAACCGGTTTATGTGTAATGTCTGTCCCTAACCTTACAGACTAACTAAATCAGAGACATATAGTATAAACTTTCACAAGCCCAAGCCAACATCTGATGAAGTAAGTGTAGACTCAGGAAAGCTTATGCTATACATCTTTGTTTTAGTTAGTTTATAAAGTACAAATCTACCCTACCTTCTGCCTGACTTCAGACCAATATAGCTAACTTCATCTCATTGTACTTTAAGACACAGAACCATGTACATAGTGGACATGGTATAGTACTGCTTTGTTTTAAACAATGATGATACAAAATGCTTCCTCAGTGAAAGACTGCACTAATGCCAGACCCGACAATGCTAACTTGATGAAACAGCATCAGTGCCCCACAAATCTTTTGAACAGTCAATCTAACATGATTCTGGTTCTTATATATTTTCTCCCGATTGTAGTAGCCTCTTAGTGAAGAAAAAAACATCTAATATATCCCTATTCACTACCATTTTCCCTCCAAATATAACTTTTTAAAAAGTGTGTGCTAGGGGGCAGCAGCTTAAAAAAGCCAAGTTGAAGATAGTGGATCTGGTTCCCTCCACAGAAATCTAATATAGGTTTTAATCGGGAGGGGATTGAAGGGGGTGGAACATTAAAATAATGAAGCAGTAACTCCCTCTGTACCTGTTTTCCTGGAGAATTTAGGACAAGGGCCATGAGTTACCCCATGCTACTCTTTTTAATCTGTTCTGAAAATAGTCAGAAAAGCAACTGCTATATCTATACATGCTATGAAGGTGCTTATTCTGATAACATACCTTACGTCTCAGACAACATCCTTGGGCGTGTGTAGACAAAACAGGGGCCCTAAACTGAAGTGGTGGGTTTTAAAAAAACACTGCTTCAATTTAGGGCTGATTAAACCCCCGTGTTGTGCACACACCATACTTGCCTCTGCAGTGGGGAGGAGCGGGCGAGCTGCTGGTGGGTTGAGTGGTCCCCAGGCTGTGGAGGAGTGCTGGTGCTTCCCTCCATGGCAGCAGTGGACTCCCCAGGCAGCACCTGCCCACAGGCACCCGGCTTGGGCGGTCCTGGGTGGCACCACAGCTTGAAAAGGAAGCACCAGCCCCCCGTGCAGCTCAGGCAGGCAGGCAGGCGCTGGGAGGGGAAGATCAGGCTCGCCACTTTTCTTGGGTGGAGTCTGCTTTCCCATGCTGCTTCCAGGCTGCCTCGAAGGAGTTTTAGTTTGCTGCACCCCAAGTCATTTAAGGCGCATTACGCTGACGAATTTCCTACAATGGCTGGAATTAATGCGCAATACACCGCTGAAGCATGCAAGCACCAACACTAGGGCTGTGCGAAGCTTCACCAGCTGTTTCATTTCAATGCTGTTTTGACTCGTTTCTAGCTCGAAACAGTGAAATCAAAATGAAACTAAAGGCTTCGAAACAGCCTCAAAACGAAACAAGGCCAGTCGAAATGTTTCGAAAGTTTCAAAATGTTTCGAGTTTCAAAGCAGCAGCCAGGGGTGGGAGGCAGGGGAGAGCCAGGTTTGCACTCTGAGAGGCTCCGCAGTCCCATGTGGCTCAGTCCGGTGCGGAGCGCAGCCCTGGCTCTCCCCACTTCCTGCTGCTGGGCTGCGCTCTGTGGGGCTAGTGGAGCCAATTGGAGCGCAGCCGGCTCTGCCCACCTTCCGACGCTGGGATCTGCTCCAATCGGCTCTGCCAGGTCCATGAAGCGCAGCCCAGCAGCAGGAGGTGGGGAGAGTCAGGGCTGTGCTCCCCGCCAGGCTGAGCCACATGGGGCTGCGGAGCCGCTCAAAGCGCAACCCCTGCCTCCTACCACCTGGCAGCTGCTCCCCTAGCGCTGGCTGCTGAGTTTCCCAGTGCTCGGGATGGAGCCCAGCTCGGGGAGGCACCTTCCCCAGCTGGGCTGAGTTTCCCAGTGCTGGGGACAGAGCCCAGCTGAGGGAGGTACATCCCCCAGCTGGGCTGAGTTTCCCAGCACGGCGAACCACTGGGAACTGAACCCAGTGGTAGGAGGTGCTTCCCCCAGCTGGGCTCAGTTCCTCAGCGCTGGGTCCCAAGCAGCAGGAGCAACCTCCTGTCATCTGGCAGGCAGATCGGGGGCTGACCCGAACCCCTGGGAGGGCTGCAGGGGGCTTTGCCAGACTCCTTCTGGAAGTGCAGGGCCCCGATCTGCCTGCTGGATCACAGGATGCTGCTCCTGCTCCCTGGCTCCTGTTTGTCAGCAGCTTGAGGTTCAGTTTCCTAGAAACTCCTGAACCTATCTCCTTGAAACTTGGCAGGCTTCATGCCCTCAGAAGCCGCTACCATCCCTGCATGTTTCATCAGAATCAGGCATGAAATGACAAAGTTACTGGCCATTTCGTGCTTCACCATTATAACCAATCGGTGAGTGCTTCCCCATTATAGCCTATGGGCGAAAAGTCGAAACAATGTCGAAACAGCAAAACCGTTTTGATGAAATGGAATGGAACAGTGCTTTCAAAACAAAATGAAACTCTAAACAAAATTCTGTTCCATCGAAACAGAAGTCAAAGTGGAACGCTGCTGTTTCTCATAGCCCTAACTGACACCATTAAAGCGGTGCAAAAGCATTTAGCCTGCTTTAAAGTGTTGTACACACACACTTCTCGTTTAGTCTACGCATGGCCCTTGTCACTTTGGCACATGAAAATCCTTAAAGGATCAAAGCTAATTATCTTGCTTTTATCAGCAATCTAATTATCAGCATTTATACCTCTTGCTTAAATAAATATAAACATTCCTATTTATAAGAGGACAGCAGCTTTATAATCGGTTCTTATACAAGAGTATATTTTAAGAACTTTCCTCTCAGAAGATCTGGAACTTTACCTTTAGGAAATTTAAGGATCAATCCTACCCACTGGGAGGCAGTGGCCTACATGCTTGAGCCAGTGTGGGGTTCCATTTGTTTCAGTACAGATCAAGACTTACGTAGGGTACTACAGAGGTTTTCTTGGTGATTATAGCTGGTCATGATTTTTCAAATTTCAAATTACTAAAGAAATTTCACAATTGAAAAAGAAAAGGCAAAACATTGCTGAAGATTTCCTGATCCTTCTCAGTTTGGGAGTGATACAAGTTGCTTGCATTTTTTGAATTAGAATACATTTGAAATTTAAAAAACAAATCTTAAAAAAAAAATCCTTCTCCATTTCATGTCTGATTGAAATATACCATGTTAATAATATTAAATGCTCAACATATTCTATATTGAGAACTAAAGCATTTTAATTTATTTTGCACTAAAATAACAATATCATAAATTAACCTTAAAGTGGGCCAGACTTTTAGAAAGCAGAGCAGTCCTTCAGGACAACAGAAGTGGGGAAGGGATTGATTAATTGTAAGTTTTGGACAAAAAAAAATGAACTCTAAATAATTTCAATCAGCTGTGTTCATCTGTAAGGAAAGAGAAAAGCCACTGAGGACAAAGACTAACTCACCAGAGTTGCAAGCAGCCACCCCAGCCCCGAGGCTGCAAGGAACCATTTAGGGTTCCTTCTTCTCCTGGTGTTCCCGGAGGGGACGGGGAAAAAGCCTGAGCTCCAAGAAAAAAGAGACCTGGAGCAGGCCAGTGAGGGATACCTGGAACCGGAAGTTGCTGACTCAGCCAGAGAGGTGGCAGAGACGACTGAAGGCACAGAGGGAGCAGTTAGGAAGGTTTTTCAGAGAGGTAGTGCCTGAGCTGCCAGAGAAGATACCATGAAGGAGCAATTCTCAGGGAAACTGAAATTGCCACAGGGCAGTCCCAAGAGACAAGCAGGGAAGGAGGTACTGTAAAGATCCTAATAGCAGGTCTGAGAAGAGGTACCATAAAGACTGGACTATAAGGGCAGGAAGAAGTCAAAGTTTGTTTTCTTTTCTCTTTTCTTTGAAGTGGGAGAGGATTCCTCCCAGATATAGCAGGATAGTGAGATGAAACTCTCCGGACAATAGGCCAGGAAAAAAACTGTTGAAATACAAGTCAGTTCCTTGTGTTACTTCAAGCCTGGTGGAGGATAACCAGGCTCAATGTGGTTATTGAGTTGTCAGACCCAGAGGCATAAGAAATGTCTAGACAGCTCTGAGGCTGACTATACGGGCTGTGAATTAACACCTGGTGGTACAGGCGAGGGTGTAGGGGTTGGTGGAGCCCTCACTACACTGAGGCAGGCATCAAGACCAACAAAGTCAAAAGCTACATGCCCAGGCATTTCTTTTCTTCCTTAACAACAAGTCGTGGCAGGAGAGATCATCGGCGTGTGGAATGTTCCATCAAGATGTCATGGTGGGCTTCAGACAGCTGGCCTAAGTGATAAGACTGTCTTAGTATAGAAAAGAGAGTGAGAAAGAGAGGAAACCACCAGAGACTGACTGAATACAGAAAAATTGAGGCAAGTATCTGGCCCAAAATAGGTGGGTAGACCTTGGTGAAAGCCCTGCTTTGGACATCATCATTTAGTACTTAATATTCCTTATCTCACAGGCCAACATAAGGTTATTATATGTACATAAGAAAGCGACTACATCATCACTCATAGGTTATAATATAACACAAAAAATTTGCTAAGAATAGCCTGCTTCTACTTCAAACAATCCAAATGTCATTACAATGTAATAATGGATATGTAACAATGGTCTTTATTATTCCATTCTTTTTAATATGGAATTATATACCTCAGCATCATACTCCCAGAGTTGATTTCCTCTCATATGATGGCATTTCAGCATGATCACAGGGCCATTGAGTCTAGAAACATCCAGGCATAAATCATCTGTCCGTATCTCTTTGTCAGCTGTATAAGAAAATACCTGAAAACATGAGACAGTTAAAATTATAAAGAATTTAAGAAACAGACAAGTTTAAATTGTTGCTGAGTTGTAGCATACTTCATTTTCAGGTAAGGCACTAAACTACAAGCAGTTCCTCCTTTTATGTTAGGGAGCCCTGAAAAGTACTATATTTTGTCAAAGTGACATGTTCTAAGTTTGAGAAGTAATGAACGTACAGCCCTGGTGAAATGAAGACTGTTAATCAATTGCTTAGATTTTTATTTTGAGAATACCATTAAAAAGCACAAAAGAAATTAATAATAACACATACTGATGTTTTCAGAAAGTATTTTGTAGGATGATTTTTAATTTTTTTTTAAATTGTCCCAGTTATTGGAAGAATTAGAATCTTTTGATCCTAAGCACTTAACTACTGGTATTTAATTTCCTGTACTAAAGACCATTATACTGGAATAAGTGAGAACATTGGATCACCTGAGAAAGTTATGAGTAAATTAATAGGAAAATCATGTCACAATAAACAAAACCATGTCAAACTGGTGCTATTGGAAATTCATCCCTACATTATAATAATATCTTAAAAGAATGTTAGTGAAATCAGTATTTAAAGCTATTAGAAAACACCAGGATGGAAGTAATGGTAACTGAACAAAATTATTACTCTGTAGAGTGCATCTATATGTGCGCTTTACTGTGGAGTAGACTAATCAGCAGTGCAATAAAATGTCACCATTTACATATGCTTCCATGCATCCACACTGTGTCCAGTTCTGGGCACTGCACTTCAGGAAGGATGTGGATGAGATCGAGAGGGTACAGAGAAGGGCCACCCATATGATTAGGGGCCTGGAGGACAGACTCTATGAGGAGAGACTCCAGGAACTGGGTCTGTTCAGTCTGATTAATAGAAGACTGAGAGCTGACTTGATAGCCACTTATAAGTATGTCGGGGTGGACACCAAGATCTAGGGGAGCAACTCTTCAGGAAGACATCCCTTGGGAGGATGAGAACCAATGAGCACAAGCTAATTGAGGAAAAATTTAGGCTGGACAAAAGGAAAAACTTCTTTTCTGTAAGGGTGACTAGAATCTGGAACACACTTCCAGCAGAGGTGGTGTAGTCGCCATCCTTGGAGGTGTTCAAGAGGAGGCTGGACAAACACCTCGTTGGGCTCATTTGAACCCAATAACCTCCTGCCCATGGCAGGGGACCAGACTTGATGATTTTATGGGGTCCCTTTCAGTCCTTTGATTCTATGATTCTTTGATTCAAGGGTGCAGTAAACTAATGAACTATGCCATAAGACAGTACTGTCAGTGAGTACTATCTTACCGTGGAGTAATTAACTGCAATAAAATGCACATGTAAATGCTGATCGTGGGTATAAACTGCACACGGTCAGCCCAAACAGCCAGAAAACAGACTCCTGCCTGCTTCCTAGCCACACGGCTGTGCAGTTTCAGCACCCTCATGCCTCAACCAGCCCCTGTGCTGCCCAATGCCACCATCTGGAGCCTGGGGCTGACCCCTTCATGCTCCCTGCCAGCCCAGGGCCTGCTCTGCCCCAGCTCAAATTGCTGCTGTACTGGGCATGTGTAGATGCTGTGCCCTGGAGCAGTTTACTCTGGCTCAAACTGCTCTGGAGTTTATTGCTTTGCATGAATTGCAAGTGTAGAAGATCTAATACAGTAATGAGATGCTTTGACTCTACTTATTTATCCAAACATCTTCAAAACAAACGAGAAGATTTTGATGAGACTGTTAAGCTGAGCCCATACAGAGAACAATAACTATTTGTTACAGCCATGTTTTAATATACCAGTAATGGTTCCATACAAGTATAGAGTATTAGTTGAGATACAGGAGTTCTTGAACAAGAACTTGGAGACTTGCAGTAGATGGAAGGAAGCTAAACTGGCATTAAGTCGCCTTTGCAATCCTGGGTTCAAGTTATTTTTCCTGATCCTGTGACCACAGAAATTTTTCCTTAGCCATATCTACAGAACACACTGTAATCCTGCCAATCATGCTGAAGGGATAATGGGCTCTGCATGCTTTCTATTCCTTAGTTCCTCTCAACCACTGATGGTACTCCCCACTAAAGGAAGGGCTTTGTTTTATTTATTTTAATTTGGGAGCAAAGGAAGAATATGAAGCCAGTCTTGGACAATCACATCCAGTGCTTGTACTATCTTGGTAAGCCACAAATCCTAGAAACTCTTCTAGCTCTTTCATCAAGCTCTTCTACAGTGCCAGTTACCACATTTTCACTGCCAGCTTTTGTGATTATGCATCTCTCCCAGCACTGACCTAAAAGGAAAAGTCTAAGTTCAGGCACTCTCCCCTTAGAACCCAGATAACGGGAATCAGTGGTGCCAACTGGTCCTCCAGCACCATCAGTTCCCCTAGCTTCACTTAGAATGGCTTGAGACACAGGTCAAACAGCTCCTACATTCAAGTCAACAATATCAATGCATCTTATTATTACTCAGAAGCCCTTCTTCACCTTCTGAAAAAAGCCTGGTACTGCCAGCATACTCTCTTAATGCTTTGGGTTTTACCATTCTGTTTTATACTTGTCATCACTACCAAATGATATGCTCTCCTCTGCATCTGACTCTGTGTCTTGCAATAGGTGTTAATATGAGTTGTAGCCACTAATACCTCCTTTGGTGAGCTAACTGTACAAGAAAGTAGCACCTAACCTTCCAGCTCTTCAGCCCAGTTGAGTAGCATGTGATTGGTCCATGGGCCCAATCCCGTATGCCCAGGTATGGCTACAGAGCAACTTTTCGCACATCAAGTCTAATCCTACACATGCCAGATCTGGCTCCAGAGCAAATCTGTGGGTGCTGGATCCAACCCTACACACATCAGATCCAAATCCACACTCACCAAATCTGGATGCAGAGTGACTACATGCATAGAACCACAGAAAATCAGGGATGGAAGGGACCTCTGGAGGTCATCTAGCCCAACCCCCTGCTCAAAGCAGGACCATCTCCAACTAGACTGTCCCATCCAAATCTTTGTCTAGCCGGGTTTTAAAAACCTCCAAGGATGGAGATTCCACAACCTCTCTGGGTAACCTGTTCCAGTGTTTTACTACTATCCTAGTGAGACAATTCTTCCTAAAATCTAACCTAAACTTCCCTTGCTGCAACTTGAGACCGTTCCTCTTCTGAA